CAGTAGATCTTGAGGACCAGGGTTGGAGACCACTGGATTAGAGGCTGTGGGTAGAACCATGAGGGGTTCTGGTCCTTTAAGCCCAGTGGAGGTTCTGGTAGCAGCACTGGGTCCAACTGACCAGAACCAGAACATTTCTGCTCCTCCTTTCTTCTCTGCCCGGGTTCAGAAAATCTTCCTTTGCTGAAGCAGAACTTTAGTTCGCTCCTGTTCTTGTTGTTTACACTGATTTAGCTAAGCTAGGCTAAGCTAAGCTAGGCTAATGTAGCCTGGTAGTTTTTCCAGCCGTCCATTAAAATCCTAATCTTTGAAGCTAAAGCCTGGTTTAGCCGTTAGACCCTGGATCAACTTCTTCCAGTGAATCAGATCATTTAAAGGAACAAAGCCAACATTTCTCCTACTTTCTCGGCCGCCATCTTTCCATCTGCTCACCTTCTAGCCTCCATGGAGCTTCCAGCCGGCTGGGAGGCAGCGGGAGCCACGGACCCGGGACGCCTGCGGTTCTGGAGGCGGTAGGGTTCGATGGACCGAACCTAACCGGTGGTTCAGATGAATACAGAAACTCCTGCAGAGCTGCTGCTGCCGGAAATGACGTTTCCTCTGCTTACTTTCTATTGGCTGTTGGCAATTCCAGCATTGAGTTGGAGCTTTAGCGCCACCAGGTGGTCTGGAGGCCGGAGCAGAGCCTCATTTAAAATTAAAGTTTGACCATGAAAATAAAACTATATCTGATAACTAGTGATGGTGAGATATGGAGGACTGACTCTGCCATAGATAAAAAATATATACTGAAATAAATAAATAAGCATTCAATTAATTGCCCCCAAAAATACAATAAACAAATAAATGTAAGTAGAAATTAAATTATACAGTGAGATATAAATCTATATAACTCTTTTAATTAGCTTCTTTATTTATTTCCCTTTGTAATATTTACCTTATTTTTTTGTCCTTTATAATCTTTAACTTTATTTTTTAATTAATTATATTTGTAAGTATTTATTTATGTGCATGTTATAATATTTTTGTCTGTTTTCTTCTTCCTTTGTATTTTTTTACCCTTGTTATTTCTTCCATGCTATTTCTTTCTGCTGCCCTTTTTACATTTCTGTCTGCATTTCTTCCTCATTATGCAAATGAGGAGGGGGCGTGTCTTAAGGACTCAACCGCTGCCCATTGGTTGGTAAGTATTTCACTGCATCCGTGGAATCTACATGCCACGGTCACGGTCACAACAAAGATGGCCAGTTACAATGAAGTTATCAGTGAGCTGAGGCATTTAGCAACTGTTTCTGAAAACAATATAAACGTTAGAAATATTGACTTTATTACTTTTCGTTTGGACGCTCTGACTGAACGTGTGTTTCAGTTAGCGGCACACATGGACACAGATGTAGACAATGTAGTGTTTCAGAATTTGGTGGCCCATCTTCTTAACTCACAGAGTTAACTTTTCTGTTGCTGTTGTTCAATAAAAGAACATTTTAAGATTATTTGAGGCGAGAACATTATACTTTAAGCGTCACTATATGGCCCATTTACCGATTTAAAAAAAAAAGGTTCCAAAGTTGAGAGGACTGCGGCAACCAGCGGAGCTCCGAGGCTAACGGTGGCCCGTCTGCAGCTGCCCTCTCAATACTCAGGGACCTGGCCAAGGTAAGGAAAGCTGAAAAAAGGCCACCTTTGAACAAGACGCACAA